CTTCAACAATCAAGGTCAGAGGCGTCATATGTTTAAATCTTTTAATAGGTTCTTATGAAATCTTAAGATTACAAGTGTTAGATTAATAACAGGTGAGCGATGCAGGCCCATTGGGCCTCTTGTTTAAGATGAGAGATTAACACCAGGTGAGCCATGCAGGCCCATTGTGCCTCTTGTTAAATTTTGATACATGTTATATTACAGGGGTTATTCATTGTATAAAAATATCACCCATGGCCATCGTACGCTACTGTGCACTGCTACCTAAATATGAAATTGATATGCTTGCCTTACTTTACTGTGAAAGGTTTGTCCCTAGACATCAAGGTTGCTGAAGAAAAATCCAAGGCCAAGCAACAGGAGAACAAGTCATCAGAACCTGACTCCCCAGGCGATGTCCAGGTCATAATCAGTCATTTCCATTCCCCCTCAGACTTCCATGTACAGCTGGCATCATCAGCAGCCGAGGAACTGGAGAAGTAGGCCATTTTCTATTATTATTATATGTTACTTATATGTTTATGCTCCTTTTATCAACAACTCAATTAATCCTTTACTTCTTGTAGTATTGTTAATATATAGTAAGGTTTATCACAAAAATCAAAAGTAAATGTGAAATTTGTTATAGCGATACATTAAGATAATTGAAACCTTCACCTCCACTACTGCTGCATGCTTGATTTCATGGACAGTTGTTTATCCTCCAGATTGTATGTTAACAGCGACTACAAACCATGTTATATTGACAGGATGATGCAGGGTCTGCAGGAAGAATACAAGGACTCCGAGACGCAGTGGATGTCGTGGAAAGTGATGGAGTTCTGTGTCGCAAAATACTCGCAAGATGGACGCTGGTACAGGGGCAAGATCCAAAAGATACTCCACAAAAATGTGATGGAGGTTAGCGTTGTATTTGCAGAGGTAATGTGATAACAAGTAGGGCTCCATGTCTTACATGTTGGGTAGGCTGTTGTCTGGGTATATATAAAAAAAGTGTGTTTGGAAGGCATAGAGGATGTGTCGCAGTTGTTAACATAGGAGAGTTGGGGTATTGTATGTTAGGTGTTCTGTTTTAGGGAAGATAGGGGTGGGGTAGGTACTGTATGTCACATGTACTTTATAAGATTAGAGGATGGGGGTATTGTATGTTAGGTGTTCTGTTTTAGGGAAGATAGGGTTGGGGTAGGTACTGTATGTCACATGTACTTGATGAGATTAGAGGATGGGGGTATTGTATGTTAGGTGTTCTGTTTTTTAGGGAAGATAGGGGTGGGGTAGGTACTGTATGTCACATGTACTTTATAAGATTAGAGGATGGGGGTATTGTATGTTAGGTGCTGTGTTTTGGGGGATGGGTATTGGGTGTTGGGTGTTGTATTTTGGGGAAGATAGTTGTGTCATTTATTGTTGGAGAGATTGATGGGTATTGTATGCTGGGTGCTGTATTTTGGGGAATGGGTATTGTGTGTCAGAGGTATTGTTAGTTAGGGAGATTGGAGGGATAGGGGTATTGTCACATGTAATTGGGAAGATGGAAAAGTAAGGGTGTTAAATGTCAAAATATAACTGCAGTCATTCAGGTATGTACAAGTAACATTGTTATAAATCAGGTAATTAAAAAATATATAACCAGCCACTTTTGACTAGTTTCAGTTTTTAAATGGAAATATATGTGAGTTATGACTTTAGAGAGTGTGTATTCATCAGACATTAAACTCTGTGTGCAGGTGAAGTTGGTGGACTACGGTTACACGTGTACAGTCAGTCAGAATCAGCTACGCCCACTTGCCAGGTTCTTCCTCAAAGACATGTGCTTTGCCTTCCACTGTCACATGGCCAACCTGGTCCCAGCAGGTGATGGACACAAGTGGTCACGCACTGCATGTGAATTTATGGAAGAGACAACCCAGGGTGTGAAGCTGTACTTACAAAAAAAGGTTCATTACATTTAGACCTTCTCAAAAACAGGAAGTTAACTCTGAATTTCTTTTGATGTAGAAATAAAAAAGTAGAAAATGAATATGAATTTTTAGCCCACCGGGTCCGAAGGACCAAGGTGAGCCTATGCCATACCGTGGCGTCCGTCGTCCGTCCATCAACAATTTCTTTTAAACAACCTTTTCTTCTTAACCACTTATTGGAAATTAACTAAATTTGACTGGAAGCATCCATAGGTGGTGGGGATTCAAAATTGTACAATTGGTGGGGCTGACCCCCCAGGAGGCTGAGGGTCGGGGCCAAAAAGGGTTATTTGGATATATATGCTTTAAGCGACCTCTTCTCTGGAACTAAGAGATGGATATCAACCATATTTGACTGGAAGCATCCCTAGGTGGTGGGGATTCAAAATTGTACAAATGGTTGGGTTGACCCCCCCAAGGGGGCTGAGGGCGGGGCCAAAAGGTGGCAATTTGGCTATATTGCTATAAACGACTTCTTCTTTAGAACTATGCCATGGATATCAAATCATATTTAGACGAAAGCATTCTTGGGAGGCAGGGATTCAAAATTGTATAAATGGTGTGGCTGACCCCCCCAGGCTAAGGGGTGGGGCCAAAAAAAGTTTATTACTTTGATATGGTTGAGATCCCCACCATATAACCATAGATACAATTGCTGAGTATAAAGAAAAGAATGCACATTTGCTTCCAGGATTGCTCTAGGGTCTGGCCCCGCCCTTGGAGACATATTCCCTGGGCCATAACTTTCAAACGGTTGAGATCCCCACCCCAAAACTATATATACAAATGCTGGGAAAAAGGGACGAATGCAGTCATGATATTAGAATAGACCCTGGGGTCTGTCAATGAACCCCTAGGGACCTAGTTTCTTAGTCACAGCTTGGAAACAGTTGAGATGCCCACCCTATAACCATATAAACAATTGCTGAGTATAAAGAGATGAATGCACATATGCTTCCAGGATGGCCCTGGTGACTGCCCCACCCTTGGAGACTTAATCCCTGGGTCATAATGTAACGGTCTTCGCCCCTGGCTCAACCCTTTACATGGAGAGCACGACTATTCTAAACTGTCACTAAATGCTTATGACAAGCCCCCAGGAAATTATATGGTATTTCCAAACCAAGTACCTAATGACTGACTAGTTCTAAGTAACTAAAGAAGAACCAGAAAGCATAAGATAAGTTTACGCACACCTTTACGGTTACCGTTTATTAAGGAACCCAATATCAAATTACACAGATACAGATACAACAATTCTACAGACTCTCTCCAAATTCTCTCATAAATATGATGTACAATAAAGGTAGAACTATGTCTGAACCCTGGATACCAGAACTTTCTGATATATGTAGGGGACAAAACAAGTCTATTTATCCCTACTGTAGTTTAGCTAATAACAGAAATGAACCAAGTGCCAATGAATGAATACTATAAAATCCCAACTCTATATGAATTAATATAGGATTAGCAAATGGATAAAATATAGATCTAGAATTATTCTGATCACTAGGCTCTATGAATCAATGATTCTAAAGTCAAACTCT